GTGGCGACGGTTCCACACTTCGCAGCCCCCAGGGGGCTGGGGGGTCTCAACTGCGTCCCCGTACAACTCCACTCCGCGCGACCTCCCAGGAGCCCGCAGAAGTGGCGACAGCTTCAAATTTCGCAGCCCCCCAGGGAGCCGCGAGGTCTCAAATAGTTCCCCATGTGCAACTCCGCCCGTTTCTTGCGCAGGCTGCGGGGGAGCAACTAGCGCCTGGAGCGTCAGGGCCCGCGGGGTTCCGCGGAACAGGCAAGGATGCAACAGGGCAAAGCGACGGGAGAGGGAGATAGAAGCACACAGGACATGACATGACATCCACAAGCAAGGAGCGGGAAAAGGGGCTGGACTGCGGGGGAGGTCCCGCTTGGGGTGGCGCTCGGCTGCCACTTTCGCCACCGCTGCGGTACCCCCCCCCCAATTGTGTGTGCGCCGCCAATGGAGCTCGGAGATCAAGGACAGAAAGACCGTGAGGAATGGACAGAGGAGGTGAGAGTGGCACGGCCGAGCAGAGGGTGGGCCCACGTCAGGTTTTGCCTTCCTGCCCCCGCGGTCCGATTTAACGGGAGCTCGCGGTATACGGAATCGGAGGATTGCGTCACGCAAGTGGGCCTTCCCCTGTACATGCAGACGAGCCAGAGGGGGGAAGACACCAATGAGCATCAACACCAACGAAAACACCTGGCAACACAACAGGGAGGAGGGGGCCAACAAAGATATCATGCAAGCAGTTATTGCCCAACGAAGCCCATGAAATGAGGGCGCGAGAAGACATTAACATAACAGTGCAAAGCCCTCCCAACCCCCGATGCACAGCTCCAATGTTAGGATGCCGCCGAGGACGCCGCACGACAGCCCACTCAAGGAGCACTCGTGGAGCGGTGCAGCGGGGTGGGGGCCAAGGGGGCGGATGGTCAAACCCTGAAGCGAAACAAACATATCCACATATCAACCGCAACCCATCAATCAAGGGACATGCGCTATGTTGACCATCCGCTTCAAGTAATGGCATACTTTTGCTCAAGCTGGCACGCATGTCACGCCGTGGGCAGCTGCCCAGGCGAGGGACAGGGGACGGGGGGCCAACATGGCTGTGCAGGGCAGGGGGCGGGGAGGCACTAGCAGCGTGCTTCAGCCACCAACACCCCTTGTGCCTCTGGCCCCCTACACCCTGCCAGTCCACGACTTCCCCATCGCCCCATCCTACTCCCCCATCACCCACAGTTCACGACTCCCCCATCGCCCCAGAGACAGTTACTGCCCGTAAAGTTTGCCCCTTATGGTGTACCGGCCCAAAGTGGTCCTACGCCAAGCCGCCGAGGACCAGTACGGGCCCACCACCAGGGGCAGACGTGGGGCGGTGCAGCGCCAAGGTGCAGCGTCCCAAGCCAGAGTGCAAGCCCTTATCAAGAAACATCAGATGGTCTCGGAACCTGAGCACTCAAAAGCCTGGAACAGACAGGTGCACCCTGACCTTAGGACCATCAGTCTCAGCCAGGACTACGCACGGCTTGGACCTCTGCCTTGGCCAATGCCGCAGCACGCGCAGGAAGACTCGCAAACGTTAGCGGGCGAGCCAGCACGCGTGCCAGCCCTGCTGGCCACTCACTTGGCCACTGCGCATTCTCAGCATGAGCGTGATGGTGGCAGCGACATCCGTTCCACTGCCTGACCCGCTCATACCGCAAAGCAAAGTGGGTAGAGACCACCACCGTCGGATGGTGGTCAAAGGTATTCAGTTTGCAAAGATCAACTTGCTTCGAATAATATCCAACTTCATTGGCACGCCCTGCCTCATCAATACACGTCGCACGCATATGCCGCGTCTGCTTCTCCACCGCCATATGAGCTAGTACGCCAGTCACTCGGGCAACCTCCATCAACAACAATGTCTGCCTCAGCTGCTCGTTCTCCCTCGCCACCTTAAGTCGCTTCACATCTCCGAGTAGTCTGGTTCCCCAAGGCTGGTCCCTGGCTCGAAGAGGTTCTCCCACGTTCTTACTGTCATCGAACTGAGTCCATGTCACCACTGGCGGCGAGATCACCAATTCACCAACGTGTCCTTCAACTATCGCAGTTCTAATATCATTCAGTTGTGCCTGCGTGAGGGTCGCCGCTTCGTCATCCTCCTCTGTAGCTTCAATGTTCGTCACGCACAGATGCATACCCAGAAAAGTGTTAAACCAATCGCCAGCATCATAAAGAACTGTGCCGTTGAGGAAGAAATGGTGAAAGGAGGTTGCCTTTCCAAGCCGCCGTCGAATAATATATGGTTCTCTGACGTTAACATCCACCTGCACTTCAGGAGATACTTCTGATAGCCATGGCTATCCTTTTCCTTCCTTGATCCCCAACTTGTTCAGCCTTCTGGAACGCTTGTCGGTAACTGTGCCTTCTGAGTGTCATTTGCCGCCCCCTCTGAATGTCATCTTTCCTAAGCTCGCCTGCCGCCTCATCAGATAACCAGTGATTGTGTTGCTTAAGCCACCGGATATATTTGTTGCCAATTCGCCGCGGGTGTCGCAATAGGCTGGACCGATCAGAAAACTGGGCCCCGCACGCCCGACACAAAGAGTCATGAGGCAACCGTTGTGCTATGACAAAGGGATGGTGGTCCAACATGTGCTTCCTCCATGCAGAGACAAACCAGGTCCTCCATGCTGAGACAAAACACACACACACACACATCCGCTCTGCGCGACCTCCCGGGAACCCACGAAAGTGGCGACGGTCCCACATTTCGCAGTCCCCCAGGGGGCTGGGGGGTCTCAACTGGGCCCCTCTACAATTCCACTCCGCGCGACCTCCTCGGAGGCCACGAAAGTGGCGACAGTGCCCTTTTTGCGCAGCCCGCAGCCCCCCAGGGAGCCGCGAGGTCTCAAATGGGCCCCCGTGCAATTCCACTCCGCGCGACCTGCCAGGAGCACGCGAAACTGGCAACAGACTCAAGCTTCGCAGCCCCCCTGGGAGCCGCGAGTTCTCAATTGGGTACACGTGCAATTCCAGTCCGCGCGAACTCCCAGGAGCCCACTCGCAGAACCCCAAACGCGAGGTTCCAACTGGGCCCCCTTGCAGTTCCACTCCGCGCGACCTCCCATGAGCCAGCGGAAATGGCAATAATTCACACTTCGCAGCCTCTCAGGGAGCCGCGAGGTCTCAAGTAGACCCCCGTGCAACTCCGCGCGACCTCCGAGGAACCCACGACGGTGGCGACAGTCTCACGCATTGCAGCCCTCACGGGAGCCGCGAGGTTTCAGCCTGGTTCCCGTGTGTGCAAGTCCACTCCGCGCGACCTCTTTGGAGCCCACGAAAGTGGCGACAGTCTCACATTTCGCAGCCTCCCAGGGAACCGCGAAGTCTCAACTGGGTCCCCGTGCAATTCCACTCCGCGCGACCTCCCTGGAACCCTCGAAAGTGGCGACAGTTTCACATTTCGCAGCCCCCAGACAATTTCGCCTCTTGTAGCCCCCCAGCAGCCGCGGGGCGAGGTCTCAACTGGGCCATCGTAAATTTCAGCACCGCTCGACCTCCCAGGAACCTACGAAAGTGGTGACGGTCCCAGACTTTGCAGCCCCCCAGGGGGCTGGGGGGTCTCAACTGGGCCCCCGTACAACTCCACTCCGCGCGACCTCCCAGGAACCAACGACAATGGCGACGGTTTCACACAGGTCCCCCCTCCCAGGAGCCCACGAAAGAGGCAGAGGGCAGGCCGTAGCCATTGGCTCAAGCCGGGTCGGCAAGCGCTGTGGCCGGCGGTGCGCCAGCCCCTCGACGAAGGCCCCAAGCCCGCATGGCTCGCGTTCCCGTCCTGGCCCTGGCCCTCCTCGCTCCGCGCTCGCCGCCGAAGGGGTGTGCGCGGAAGGCCAGTGCGCCGAAGGCGGGGAGGAGGCGGCGCTGCTGCAGTCCACTGCGGCCCAGAAGCTCGCGGAGGTGAAGGCGCACTCTGCCGACGCGGCCGCGGTCACCTGCACCACCACGCCGGCCAAGACGTGCAACGACGCCTTCCAGTACTGCTACCAGGACCCGGCGTGCTCTGCAGGAGGAGCCGGCTGCATCTCGGGCACCACTTGCCGCTTCTGCGGTGGCAGCAACGTTCCCCAGTGCCCATGCCCTGGGGGCACCAGCTCGTGCGGAGGCCCCAGCGAGCAGTGCCTGTGAAGCCCGGGCTGCAGCGGGGTCGGCTGCAACGCCGACGGGAAGAACCAGGACTGCCAGTTCTGCGACACCGGCGCCCCCGCGCCGAAGTGCAGCAGCCTCCTGCGCTGAGCGCTGAGCGCAGCCGGGTCATGAGGCGGCCGAGCGGCAGGGTTGCCCTTGCGTGGAGCCGCCGGCGGTAGAGGAAAAGGGTGAGGGCGGCAGGGAGGGCCCAAGCGCGTTTTCCATGCTGTCGCCCCAGCCCTTGAGACCCTGGGGGGTGCACCTCGCGCGTGGCACTTTGGCCATTCCGTTTTATGCGCGCGCACTCTGCCCGATGGTTGTTTGGTTGCAACAAAAAACGAGAGAGGAGACATGAGGCAGGAGAGACAAGCAGGGGGGGCGCGACCAGCGTGCTCTTTTCAAAGCGAGATCCCAATACAGGAGATCGGGGGGAAAAACGTTTTCCTGAGTCAAAGATCACTTTGGGCTCAGGACGGGCTGTGGGGCCCCCATTACGATCAAGGCGGGCAACCTCTGTGTGGCCGAGGCCGCCGTGGCCAGAAGCAAACCCTTCGTTCCTCATTCAGCGTTCTTTCTGGTAGCATGGTTATGGCATCTTTGGCAGAGCTTTGGGGCGCGCGGGACCGGTCTGGCGTCGGCCTCCCCTTCCTCATCCATGTTCCCCGTCTCGCCGATCTCCCCAACTTTCTTTCTCACCCCTCTATTGGGTCTGTTCTCCCCCCCATGCGGTGCGCCCCCTTTGACTTCGCGGCTCTCGTCCCATCTTCGTTTTCCTCCTCGTCCGTCTCCTTTTCAGACCTCCTGGTCGTCGTCCTTCTTCCCCTTTCTCCGTCCCCAGCCATTACCAGGTTTCGAACCGCTGTGGTCGCGCTCCTGGAAGTGGCACAGCTGTCACGAGCCAGGAATTGTACGGCACCCTGCCCACGTCGCGATGTCGCTCGCCTCCGCCACGTCAGTGGTAGTGCAGCGGCACATGCGGTGGGCAGAAGAGGAGGGGCTGGCGCACTCAGAGCCAGCAGTGTGGTAAGAAAGCTGCTCACGGGACCCGGCACCGAAGAAACCATGGGGCAGTCGGGGTCAGGGGCCAGCGCGGGCCACCAGCACTGCAGAGTCGAGTAAGGAGGAGGCGTTGCTGCAAGCAAAGCGGGGGCTTCAGCAGGATATGATCGCCAACCTTTCTAAGCGCGGCTTGTCGGCAGAGCAGGCACAGTCGGTCATGACGACGCTCGTTCTGGAGAAGACGTCTTTGCAGGACAGGAAAGAGAAACAGCTCGAGAAGGCTGCGGAGCGAGTGTTTGCAGCACGTGAGGCGCTGGAAGCCAAGCAGAAGGAGCTGGCCCAAGAGCTGGAGTACGAAAAGCAGCACAAAGTGGCCTTCTCAGAGACCACGGCGGTCATCAAGAAAAATACATTGGCAAGCGCAGTTCTACTCTCAGGTTGTGCGCGCGAGTGCAATCTCGACGCCACGTCCTCAGACGACCTCTTGGGAATCATGCAATATGTGCTGGACAACGCATGGCTTCGGAGCACCTGGTCGAGCTGGCGGCGCCAGTCACGGACTCTTGCTCCTGCCTGGGCAAGAAACGTTTCGAAATGCGCGCCGAAGCGGAGGAGCAGGCCCAGCAAGAAGCGGAACGCCAAGCAGCAGCGGCAGCTGCTCAGGAGGTTGGGGCTCAGCATGCCTGCGTTGTTCCTCCTAGTGCTGGCACCGTTGAAGATTCAGTCGTCATCGACCAGTTCGATTGGGATGATCCCGCTTCGATTGAACGACTCAATGCAGCAGGCTTCATGGACTTGGACCCAAGCACGCCTGAAGACCGAACAAAGTTCAAGCGGTTCCAGGAGGTTTTGCCTCTCACGAAGAAGCCGTGCTGTTCCTAACAGTGGTGATGGAGGTAGTGGGGGTGATGGCTGGCTCTCGTCGGTCGCCGGAGGCGCAGATGGAGGTTGTAGGGATGATGACTGGTTCGAAGGTCGTCGGAGGCGCACCGGGTTCTGGATCGTCGCCGTCGGCTTCGCAAAGGGCGGCTTCCAGTATTTGGCCATCGCCTCGGTCAGCTGAGTCCGTCCCCTGTCCTCCTGAGAAGCTGGAGACGGCACGGCGCTTGCAGCGCGCTGCGACCCCTCGGGTTGGTTTGGAGCCCGACCGAGAGGGAGGGGAGCACTCGCGGAGTGCTGAATCGCTAGAAGAGGTACGGGCTGGTCCCCCAGTTCTTCTTGGAGCTGGTAGTCCCACGTGTCCAGCGAGGTAGCGATGGACGTGTTCGCGGAGGTTGCCCAATTGAAGTAGGTGACCCACTCGTCCCCACTGGCGCTCGAAGCAGTTATCGAAAGAACGCGCGTCATGATCATCTGAGTAGGAGGACTGGGATACTGCTACAGCCAATGTAACAGCCTTGGTCCAAGGCTCCGGAAGATGAAGCTGATCGGTGCCCAGCGTCTCTTGTTCCAGGAACATATCCTGAAGTTTGACCAGCAGCTCGCTTCGGCCAAGCGCTAGGTCGAGAACGACATGGTCGGGGGCCAGATGAAGCTCGGGAGGGCTGAGAACACTGGTTAAGGAGCGCAGGAGTCCTCAGCGAGAGTCGCAGTAGTCCCTTTTCGCCAGTGCTAGCCAGGAACACACCCAAGTCGTTCCTCAAGGACCTGCCAGTCAGTCGTTGTCAGTTGGTGGCCATCAACCTGGGGCTCACACTACCAGTCTAGATTGGCTCTGTTTATCTTACCCCAATTTGGCATGGCGGAGCCCGACATCTCCCTCCCAGGTGCGCATGTTCAACCTGTGCCCCTTCTGCCAGGGCCCTGGATCATTGGTGGTGGTTGCGCGGGCCAAGCATGCGCGTGGTGCACTGGCCCACGCTCCACAGTTTTCTCGTGGTAGCAGGGTTCTGAATGTCTTGATTTGCTTGAAGGTGCTGGCTGGCCTTGGCGCGCAAGTGCAGACAGTGTTGGGCACGCCGATTTGCGCGCGCACGCTTGTTTTGCTCGAGTTGCACGGCCTCAGTTCTAGGGCCATGGCCGATGGGCCCGAAGGCTTTCCCTTGCAGCTTCCTCCGCCGTGACGGCCATGCTCGCGCGAGGTAGATAACCATGAGTGCTTGCGGGTGGAGGGCGCTCTGGCCTGGGGCAACAATAATGCCGTTGAGGAGTGGTTCCTTCGTGTGGAGGACAACTTGAGTCAGCCATGTGACATACATCAGTGCAGACGGGGCATAGCCGCGGGGCTTAAGTCGGAGAAGGCGCCGCTTGCGCAGGAGTGGATTCGCCAGTTCAAAGCGAGGTCTTCCATGGAGCTCAGGCGCGCGGCACGTCTAGCATCGGCGGTGCGGCGTGCGTCGCAGCAGGGGGCCTACGCGCTGGAGCGCGGCTGGCCCAGGTTCTCGTTCTAGTTCAGACAAGAAGCCCTTGGCCCGAATGTGGGACCGGGGGGGCGCCTGGGGCCGCAGGGGTCACGTGGGCGCGCGGCGTGCACGTGGTAGATTTCGTGCGTGGCTACGTGTGCCTCCCCCTCCACTCTTATCCCTATCCTCCTCAGCGTCCTCTCCTCATGTCGACCTGTCGCCCTCCCCCATGCTTGTTCCTCCCTCGTCGCCCTCTCTTCCATCTCGCCGCACTCTCCTCCTGTCGGACGGTTTCCTTCTGGTGTCGTTGTAGCCGGTTGTCCTGCCCCCCTCTCGTTCCGCCCATGGAATGCCCTACCATCAGCGCCGTTCCGCCCATGGAACGCCCGTCGGGGCAGTTCCGCGCGGCGCGCACGATGCCCTTCAGGGCCGCTCCGCCCAGCGCATGCCTTTCAGGGCCGTTCTGCCCAGAGCATGCTCTTCAGGGCCGTTCCGTCCATGGAATGCACTTCTGGGCCGCTCCGCCCACAGTGGGCATTTCAGGCGGGCCCCCCCTCCCCACGGAGTGCCTTGCTTGGCCGCTCCGCCCATGGAATGCCATTCATGGCGGCTCCGCCCGCGGCATGCGGTTCAGGGCAGTTCCGCCCATGGAGTTTCAGGCGCCCCGTGCCCATTGCGCGCGTCAGGAGGGCCTCAGGATTGTCTCAAGAGGATTGCAGACCCAGGTGCTCCTCAGGATATTCTCAGGAGTGTGTCGGGATGGTCTGAGGATTGTTTCACGATGGTTTCAGGAGGGCCTCGCGATGGCCCCATGGGGGTTTCTGGATGGTTGCGAGAGGATCCTGGAAGGGCCCAGGATGGTCTCGGGAGGGGTCCCCGAGGGCCCCAGGGGGGTCCCAGGAGGGATCTGGGATGGTTTCAGGAGGGCCCGGGGGATTTCGAAATCTTGGCAATTTTGTCGCGGGACAGGGCGGTCCGGGATCAGGTATAGGGGTAAGGTTTTCTCCGTGGACTTTGTTAGTGTACAAGTCCAGCTGCTAGCACCTAACCTGGTACCGCCCGTTCTTGCAGTCAAATTTGAGGCCCCGGCGCCGGTCTGGGGACGCCTCTCCAGAGGGTCACAGGTGGGTCCCAGGGGAGACCGGTCTGGGCCCCGCGAGGATCCGGGAGGGTGCCCGGGCCTCCAGGGGCGGCTCCACGAGTGAGTCTGCCGATCCACTCCGACGAGCCCCAATCGACTCCCCGACCCCTCCCCAACCCATCCGGCCTTTCCGGCGGCGGCCCGCCGGCAGAGCCATCGAGCGCGACAAAGAGCCAGCCCCTGGGTTTCCCAGAAACGTCGCGCCCGTCGTCGTTACCGTCGTCGTTGCCTGGATGAGGGAGGGGAGGATGGGGTCAGGAAGATAACGACAAACAGTAACGATGAGAATAATGAGCACGATCACGAGGAGGAAAAGAGGGAAGGCGAGAAGGAGGGATGCGAGGGGAGGAGCAGGGGCGCCAGGAACGGGAAGAACTAGGCCACCCCTCTGCTTCATCTGCTTCCGCCTACTCCTGGTCCCCTGTCTCTCCTCCCCGCGCCGCTGCTTTTCAAGTCATGAATACATTCGTTGGCCTTTTCCTCTGCCCCCGTCCCCGTCCCCCTCTTCTCGCTTCGCCTGCTTTCCTCTTGTTCTATTTCGCGTTTCCCCGTCCTCGCCTCGCCTCGCCTCGCCTCGTCGCTAAAATTTCGCGGCGGGATCTGCGATCGCCGTCGAGGGGGTGGTGTATTTTTGCGTCGCGGCATTGCCGTCCCCCCTGGGGCTCGATGGCCTCGCGGGTTCTGGCGGTTGCGGCCGCCCGTGGGTCGCTGTCCTGGGGTCTCCCTTAAGGGTTCGGCGTCGCGTTTCACCCCCTGGCCCCTAGTGGGCCCCCGGCGGTCCAGGATTAGGGCCAGGGGTCTCCTGTGCGCTCCTCACTCGTGTCCGAATGGTCAGTTGCAGGTCTTCGAGGGCTTCGTGATCGGGGAGGGCTGGTGGCCTTAGTCAGGCGCGCTGGTGAACGTGACAGCTGGCAAGGTCGTGGCAGTCCCTCGCAGCGGCAGTGCCCTCGGCTGCCGGGCGCCTGGCGACCTCGACGAGCGCGTTCTCTTGCCGGGGCAGCGCGACGCTCGGGCCGACGGGCGAGTGGAAGGCGCGGGCATGCCTGGCCGCCGACGAGGATGGCGGCCGCGCGGCCCTCGCTTCCGTTTACGCCAGCCAGTGCGCCCTGCCTTCGGCGTCCGAGCTGCTGGCGGAGGAGGGCGCGCAGCACTTGCCGCTGGGAGGCGACGCAGCCATGGGGGCGCTGACGCAGCAGCGGGGCCCGCTCTGTCTCCACGAGCGTCGTCGCGATGAGGTTCGCCCTTATACCTGGCGCGGCGAGCAGTTCGATGTGCCCGCGGCGCCCGCGTTGGCGCCGACGGCCCTCAGACTTGCCATCGACTCGCGCAGCGAGAAGGCGGGGCTCGGACGGTGCCAGATGCAGCTGGGGCAGTCGGGGCGGCTGCCGCCCAGCTCCCAACAGGGGGTCCTAAACGTTGCGCGCGTGGAAGAGAGGTCCCGTCGACGCCAACTCGCTCCACGGGCGAATTACTTTCCCGCCCGAGCCACCCCTTGGAGGTGGATCGGCCCATTGCGCTCGGGCGAGTTCCATTGGGGCGGCCTGGGCAAGAACCTCGATCGAGCGGGGCGCGCCCGCGACTTGCCGGCGGCGCACTGCGCGCAGACTGATGGCGCTGCTTCGGGCACGGCGGCGCTGGACCTCAGCAAGCACTGCGATTGCGTGTTTCACCCATCCGGCTGCGCGAGGCCGAGGCGACCAGGCCCCCCTTGCCGCTGCTGTGCGCTTACAGGCTCGGTCGCCGAGCCCGATGCTCAGGCGCGCTTCCGGCGGTGGTCCTCGCGAGCGGCACGATCGCAGCAGGTTGCGGCGCTGCGCTCGGGCTCGCCAAGTTGATGTGTTGTCGTTGAGGCGAGTGCGTAGATATTCCCGGCGCGGGCGCAGTCGCTCGCGGGCGAAGAGATGGCGCGCTCGCCGGGCGCTGCGCGCCTCGCCGGGGCTCAACTTCCAGCTGCCGTGCGTTTCGTTGTCGGCGGGCTCTCGGAGAAGAAGCTGCTGGTGAAAGGGGGCAAGACTGGCCTGCCTGGCGGGGGTTAAGAGCTGGCCAGCGCCCTCGCCGAGTGCTTTTGGGGCGAGCTCGAGCGCGCGAGGGCCTTCGCTGTCTTGGCGGCGACGGCTCGTCAAGAGTCTCACGCGGCGCTGCTGGGCGCAGTGAGGGGTTCTTGCAAGCTCAGAAGTCGGCGGAGAGGATCCGCGTCCGTGGAGCTGCGGGCGCTTCGCATGAGCAGGTCTTCTGGCGTTCGCCCGCGGCCGCGGCTGTCCAGGGCCCCCCAGCGACCGGAATCGCTGGCGAGAAACCCCGCGGTCTGAGGATTGTCGCCGGGAAGTCTGAGGGGGGGCTCCCGGCTGCAGCCAGCGCAGGCCTTAGGATTGAGTCAATGTTTCGGGGGTTCTGGAGGGGGCCCCTTCTGATTCACACTGGGGAAGTTGTCAGAGACTGGGCTGCTTGTCTGGAGACTTCTCCGCTTTCGGAGGGGTCTTGGAGGACGTGCTTGAGGGGGCTGTTCGACTCGCGGGCAGAAGTCCCCCTCGGGCAACCGCGCCAACCCTGCCCCTTCCCTTCCGTCGGCCCTTGCCGGGCAGGCGGCGGCGTGGGCTCTTCCACTGAGCTCGCGGGACCCCAGGGAGAGGTAGGTTTGAAGCGAGTTTCTTCAGGCCGCGCAGCCGAAGTTGCCGGGCGGATGGCGTCTCTAGCCGTCGACGCTTCGGCGACGCGCAAGGCAGGGGCCGGGGGCGAAGTCCACTGGGGGCCCTGGGCAGAGTCCTGCGCGGGAAGGCCGAGCTGGGCCTCGCCAAGCACTCGAGAAATTTTGTCAGGAGTCTTACGTTGGGAACCCACTGGCCTCGGGCTAGTCTCGCCAAGCAATCGGTGCATGAAAAGTGTCTTTGGGATGGCTGCGCGAGCACTTTGTTCTGCCGCGGGCACGACTGGCCGCGCGCAGCGGGGCGTCGCGGGGCCGACTTCCCCTTTGCCGGAAGGGGGCTGCCTGGGGGATTGCCGAGATTGGGGAAGAAGAAGCTGAGCTGTTTGCCAGGCGCTGGTTCCTCTCCCACGAGCATCGCCTCTGCAGGCCTGAGGCTCCCGAGGAGATGTTGACGCGATTTGCCGGAGCCATGCCAGGGCGGCGCCGGGGGGGTTCGCCGGCTCGTCTTCGCGGGCGGCTCAGCCTTTCGCACGGAATCCGGGGCCTGCCGACGAGCAGGCTGGGTACAGTAGTGATCGATCGAACCGGCGGTGTTTGTCGCCTGCATACATGGGGCGGCCCCTCGGGGGTGGGGCCCTGACCACTGGGCTCGGCGCGGTGAAGATTATCATTTTTCACATGCCTGCTAGGTCGAGTGAGCCACCGTGCCATGGCGACGACGGCGCGCCTCTCGAAGTCTTCAGCGATTGCATTGGTTCGGTCGCGCGCGCGCCGCCTCCGCGCCCGCCGCCCTCTTCCCTGACGACGCGCGCCGTCGCGCGTGGAAGCTGCGGTGGCCCAAAGTCGGCGACGCAGCTGCGGCTCGCATCTTTGGGGGACCTGTGGAGGTTTAGAAGTCATCGTCTTGCAGATGAGCGGGCTCGTACAGGCGCCCTCTTGTGGGATGCGGATGAAGAACAGGAGCTGTTTGTAGAGGGCCGCGCGCGGCGCGTGGCACGCGCCGCTTAGCGGCGAGGCCGTTTGCGCAGATGGCGGCATGACAATGGGTTCTGCGACTCGGAACGGGCCGGCGTGGCCGTTGCAGTTTTCTCCCAGATTTGGTCTCGCAGGACTTCGCCGACGAGTTCGGGGAGCGGGGGGGTGTCGGGGTGTTCGGGGCCGTGCCTGCGCGTCTCTATTCCGCTGAAGGCAGTCAGGGCTCGGCCAGCTCGGGTTCCGTTGCTCCCGGCTCCTACACCTGGCCCCTCGGCTGCTTCTCTTGACTTGGCGCCCACTTCTCCGGGCTCAAGAGGGTGAGCTGTCAGACTGCGGCGCAGGCCCCGATCGTCGGATATGCAACGGGGGCCCCAGTTTTGCGATGCATCGCGTGCGGTGCGGTTGCAGCGC